CCAGCTCCGGGCAGGAGAGGCGAGGGAGGGGAAGGAGGAAAAGAGTTTTCCGAGCGAGTCACAGAAATCAGCGTGTCCCGGCAGATTGGGGTGGTTGGATTTGGTGGTCTTGCAGGCCTTTTCCAGCCTGAGCGAGACTATGTGGAGAGGCTGAGGGAGCTGGGGGTGTTCAGCCTGGCGAGAGGAGGCTCAGGGGAGACCTTATCACCCTCTATGACCACTTGACAGGAGGTTGGGGTCAGGTGGGGGTTGGTCTCTTCTCCCAGGCAACCAGCAGCAGGACAAGAGGGCACAGACTCAAGCTCTGCCAGGGGAGGCTTAGGTTGGATATTAGGAAGAGATTTTTTACAGAGAGAGTGATCAGACATTGGAATGGGCTGCCCGGGGAGGTGGTGGATTCACCATCCCTGGAGGTTTTCAAGATGAGACTGGATGTGGCACTTAGTGCCATGGGCTAGTAACCACAGTAGGGTTGGACTCGATGATCTTTGAGGTCTCTTCCAACCTGCTTGATTCTATGATTCACTGTAAACTCGGGTTTTGCCATGTAACAGGGTTTTAGTTTTAAAAAATGAAACTAGTGCTGTATTAAATTTGTTCATTTCTGTATTTTTTTGGTCCATTTTGTGCAGCTAAACGTGTCAGTGGACGTGCTGCAGCACTTGGAGCACCTGGCCCTGGTGGATTTCCGTGACTCCGAGGGCGTGGAGCGGCTGCAGAAAGCAATCCAGTTTGCTGATCAGCTTCAGGAAGTAAACACTGATGGTGTGGAACCCATGGATTCAGTCCTGGAGGACAGGTGATGAGTCACAGCAGCCTCCTTTTATCTGTTAGTGCCACAAACTATTACTTTAATAACCTTTTTATCCCCCTGGGAGTCCCCCTGCACATGGCCCCTTTGCTCACGGAAATGTCTTACTGTGGGTTTGTGTGGGAGAAAGTTGCCATTGGCACATGTGATCTGTGTGTGAGCAGGTGAAGTTCAGTTCCTTTGTGTGCCTTGGCATGAATGGTCTGCACACACTCTGCCCCAAATACCTGTCACTGGCATTCTTGGGTGCTTCAAAATGTTCCAGTACTTGTCTTACTGCTTCCTTAGGACCAAAACCAGGTTTAGAAATTAGCCACCCTTCCTACTTCACTGAATAGCTCAAAGACAACTAGTAATCTTTGTTCTTCAGGTGTCTGTATCTCAGAGCAGATGATGTGACAGAAGGCAACTGCACCAAAGAGCTGATGGAAAATGCCAGAGAGAAAGTAGAGGAATATTTTGTAGCTCCACCAGGTATTGGCTTGTAAAAACCTCTTTATGTTGCTTGACTTAACCTGAGGAATATAACCTGCCATAGCTTCATTTACTTTCAAAAATCCTAGCTAATAAAGGGAAGTACTAAATTAAACTACTGTAGCCATCTGTGTATGATGCAATTTATTGGTCCAAGGGCAGTACAGAAGCTGATCTGACTCTGAAGTTACTGCACATGTTGAGTGATTCTTTACAGGAAGTCAGACAGGACTTACTTTCCTGACTTGCTCAAGAAATATAAGCTGCCTGTACATACTTAGAATAAACCAGAGCAGCATTTTTGTGCCAAGCTGTACTATCCAGAAGGTAACTTAAGACTGGTCTCACACAACTTGTTCTTTGTTTCTTGTCAGGTAACATCCCTTTACCAAAGCTGGAGGAACGAGAGACTTTCCTGCAGGGCTCTCAGTGACAGCACAGTGCCCAAACACCACTTCAGTATCTTCTTTGGGAAAACCCAGTTTTGTGCAGCTGTAATACCCAGGCCTGTATTTGGGTCAGAAGAAGAGCATCTGCAAGACAACTTTACAGAAGATGGAAGGTGTAAAAGTTCACCAGTGCTACTGGACTATCCACTGTCTGTGAAGCTGGAAGGCAGCATGTCAGATGACCTTAATGCTTTTGTTTAGCAAAATTAATTTCATGTTACTCTTTAAGATACTGAATGGCTTAACAGCTTTAAAGAGAACATTAAAAGGTAATTATTAAAACCCCCAGAACACTATATTTTTCCTCAACAAGGCTCACTGAGAGAAACCAGAGACCAGGTGAAAGAAGAATACTACAGCAAGCTAGAACCAAATCGTCCAGACCATTCACTTTCAGGCTATAAAGAGCACAGTAAAGAGCTTAAAAATAAACTTTGCTTCCTGGGTGGTCCTTGTCCATAGACAGATTTAATAACCTATAATTTTTTATTCCAGTTGTAACTCCATGCACTAGATGAGATCATGACATGCTGAGGCACAGAGAAATTGTCTTTAGAAGTGCTGGAAAAGACCCCTGATGTTACTGTAATAGGATACCACTAACCACCACTTCTGAGTCTGCTCTTGCAGCTCTTAAGAGCCTTATTAGGAGAAGGAAAGTGGCTTCTCTGTGGCTGTGCAGGCACACACTTCCCCCGAGGGCAGAAACTCACCTCATGAGATCATAAGTTGATGTCATCCAGTTTACACAGTGCCTGTTTGCATCTTTTTGCAGAGAAAAGCCATTCCTCCCATCTTTCTGAGCCTCTGCATAATAAACACCACCAGCTTGGTGCACAGGTCCCTTCAGCTCCTGCCAGCTGCCTGGTGGGACATCCTGAGCATGAACTCATAACCATTTCTTATGTGAACTACGTCTTCCACATCCCTGCAGACAACAGCCAATGTACACTAGAGATACATTAGATGTATAGAGAGAATCAGAGATGAGTGATACACATCTCAAAAGTCCACCAAGCATAATAGAAGTATCATAATTTGAAAAACACTGAAAAAATACCTAAGAGTTTGAATAGTGGTGGTACCAGGTTCAGCCATTAGTGGATTGCTCTTAATACCATGTGGTCAAACCGCTCTGACAAGCTCCCCCTTGGGCCCATCACTATGTGCCATGTATTGAATGGAAGGCCTCGCTTGAGCTGGCTTTGCTGTAAGAAATCACAGCTCCTGGGTAGGACTGACTTTCACTCTCTGCCCTCAAAGGCTGCATGTTTGGTAAGCTTTGAACTGTTGTTTCTTTTTCCTTGAACTTAGGTTTTTTTCATATTTCTTTGCCAGGAAATTAGAGCAAGCACTTGTCCCAGTCTTGTGCAGTTACTTCATTATTTAAGCTTCCATAATACACACACATTACATACATGCATAAAATATGTAACTATGGTAACCTGAATTCTTTCAAGGATATTGAAATAAAGCCTGTATTTAACCCCACTAATCCAATCCTCTGCAAAGCTGTAACACCATATTAGTGCTCTGGTCTTGGGCTTTTCAAGAGTCAGACCCTGCAAATGCTGAAGTTTTACTAATACACAAGCTCAGCCTGAAAGTAATTTATGATTCATATCTATGTCAGGACAAGGAAAGACCTCAAGTTGCAGATACTCCCCAGTTTGAGAAATCCCCCCTTGCTCTGTCCATTCTGTCCTCCTCCTTTGACCATGAGAGAGAATGGGGACAGATTTACATAGGGAAAAGAAGAGGAATTTGAGTGTGATCTACATGGCTTCAAGAGCTCCCAACCCAAAATAGCATCCAGTAACTATTTAAAAGCAACAATCAAGCCAACAATTTGGACAAAAACAATCCCACATTCCCAATGCAGCACAGGCTAAACTTAAAAATGCCAGTTCAGTGCTGCTCCCACACACTCCAGTGAGAGAACAGACTGCCTGATGCTTGTTCCCTGCAGCCCAACTGCATTTAAAGTGGAAAGCACACATTTCCTTAATGAAGGGGTTTGTTTCAACTTCACCACTAATAAGGGAATGACAACCCTGACTCAGACACCTGCAACCACCAAAACAGAAATGCTCACAGAGGCCAGAGGAGCTGCCTGAGGGGCAGAACACATCAGTGCCTCAGCCTGCCCTCAGTGGGTCTAATGTGGTGGGTGCTGAGCCCCAGCGGGTGGTGCAAAGCCCCACTGGGCCCTGGCTGCAGCCTGAGGTGGGGATAAGACACCCACCATGTGCTGGTTCACCTCCTTTCACTGCAGGGCCTCAACACAAGTGGGGTAAAGAGTATCCAGTTTCTCTGGAGACCATGGAGATAACTTGCCTTACACCTGCTAAGACTTTTCCAGTCCTGTGTGGATCTGTAGATATAAAATTGGATTAGAAGGTCTTGCATACAGATTCCAGGTTTACGACAGAATTTTAAGTGTGGAGATTTCTTCAGTTTTATGGAAAGAAAGAAAATAGAAGTAGTTTTATTGCTAATAACGATTATTTTATGGTTTTGATTGTAACTGGGAACCCCAGGAAAAGTCTCTGTTAGTACAGTGATACAGTGTGCAACACAGAGCAAAAACACACCTTACCTGAAAAGTGCTTACAGTCTAACCTCCATCTGCAAGAGGAATCTCATGATATGCCTTATCCATTACCCAATTTTCTTCAGCACCTCCTATCTACCTTCTCCAGCTATCATCTCCTGTGTGTATTTGTTCTGCCTTCCCCTGCAGCTCTGTCCTGAGGGAAACTCTACTTTTATATTCTTGATTAACAAGTAACACTCTAATGCCTCTCTTTAAAGTCATGTATCTTGGGCTTTAATGTTCCTCATTAAGGTTGTGTATCTCACCCACACTGACATTTCCTGCAGTCGTCATCACATCTGTTCCTTCAGCTAACCATTTCTTAATAAATGCACAGAAATTTGCCTGCAGCTACCAAACACCACCACCTCCTCAGAGATTCATGGGTGTTTCTCAAGTTCAGCGTAAGCACTGGGAAGATTGTTAAATGGTTCAGTTCTGTCAGCACAAAACTCTGCAGCACTCAGAGCCACTGCTAGTGCTGCACATACTGAAGGCTGTTCTGTAAATTAATTACTTACTGTGGCCCTAAGACCATTCAAATCTTCTTCACATTGCTAGCACACATGGTGTCCCATGTCCTGCTTCATTAAGCCAGATAAATTCCCTTAATTAATAACTTTCAGAGTTGCCCTTAACACACACTCCTGATGGCCAGACAGAAAGCCAAGCTGCGGATTGCATCTCTTCAACTGAAATGCTAAAACCTGGGAGCTAAATTATTCCTGAGATACTCTAGAGTGACAAAAATATTACATTATCCAGTTTCAGTATTTTGGGGGGCAATATATCCTTCTGAGGTTGCCTCAGAGCTTGCATAAGCAAAGGGTTGCTTGCAGTTAAACTGTTTTTGCTGTGAATGATATTGAGCAGGTAACTATACTGTACTAATATGAAAACTATTTGCATTTCCAGTGAGGTGGATGACTGCTTTTGATGGTCTTTTATTTCTACAAGGAAATGGGAGTCCCACCAACAAGAGTTTGAAAACCTCTTTAAAAGTCATCCCATGCTGTTTGCCATAGACATGGCTCAGAGTCCTGTTATTAACAGATCACCAGCTCCAGAAGGCTCAACAGCAATGTTCTATCTGCTGACAGGAGTACAAGTAGAAAGTGCCCCAGGGAGAGTGAAACTAATAAAACAGCGCTGGGGATCTCCCAAAACATCTTGCTTCACTTAAACAGAAAAACCCCACCAACCAACCAACCAAAACAAACCCCAAACCAAACACAAACAAACAGAAAAAGGCAAGACTTGCAGAAAGAGTGAGGTCTGCAAGAGATGCTGTAGAAGAGACTTCAGAAGTGTGACAGATTCAGTTCACTACAGGAAAAGTTTGGAGTTGGTTTGAACATACTCAGTGAACACGGGTAAGAGATGTCCAGCAGAGGTCACTTAGACTGAAACATGTCTGGTGAACAGGAAAGAGGATCAAGTGCTGCTCACAAGCTGTGGAACTCCTTCCTTCAATATGGGTGGGCTTTGCTCTCACTAATGGACTGAAAGAGCTGTTCCCAACAAGAGCTTGTTACAAAGACAAACGAAGTCTATTGCAGAGATTACTGGGTCAAACTGTGTCTCTGTCATCCAGGTTGAGGCAAGTAATAAAATGCCTTTAGAAAACCAAATATCAACTATGGAAAGGTGTTCTACAGCACCTCGTGGACACATTAGAAAGGCTGAGTGTACTTTAAGGATCAGCCTTTTTGCCCAGGTCACCCGATGAAGCCCGAGGAGCGGCACGGGAGGCACGACCGGAGGCTCCGCTCTCCGTGAACACGCCACACACAGCGCGGGGGTCGGTACCGCCGCATCGCGC